AATACATGCATATAGGGTTTGTTGGCTCGTGACCTCAACCCAACCATCCAGGGTTTGTTGGCATATATCCTTAACCCAACCATTCCGGGTTTGTTGATCTACAACACGAAGCAGTACCACCTCAACCCACCCATCCAATGTTTGTTGGCCTCCCGCCTCAACCTAACCACCAATATGTCGACATATGCAATAGATAAACAATAATAAGCAAGTAGATGCAATAATACAGATCTACCAATCTAACAGGTCACTACAGCATAACAACATCCTATGTATCAGGATACATAACCTAGTGGGCCGACATTGGTGCCTTCGACCCACGAGTACAGTGAGGAGAACTCACCTCAATGTACAAAAGTAGCTAAATTGATCACTACTCCAAATACGGATTTACAGGTCACTTATACAGCAATCAGGGACCAATCCTCAATCTACTGCTCAAATGACACCATTTGACCTAAAGTCAAACTTGGTCAACGGTCAAAGTCAACAGTCAACGGTCAAAGTCAACATTCCAAGGTCACTCAGTCAGTCTTCACGTCGTGACCTTAATAAGACAAAATAATCGGATACTTCCATTCTCATGTCGTGACACCCAAGCTGTCACGTCGTGAGAAGTACTTTGGACAAATTTATGTATAAAGCTCTTAATCCTTTCAACCATGCAACCAAAACTTCCACAAGGTCTTATCTACCCCAAAATACCATAAAAATCATGTCATTTTAGACATGCATGACCAATGCATGTCTTAACACAAGCTAGGTCTAAAATGGTGCAAAATATGGCCATGATCTCATGTAAAAACTCAAGGTCCTATAAAACTTCAGATCCATGACCTCTAACCACTAAATGACCCTAGGAATCCATAAAGTTGGCAACTTTATGGAACCCCAACATTCCCACTAACCAAAATATGAAGAAAATTCATGGAAAACTTAGATCTAAGCACTTGGAATCATAAATTAAGGAACTTTGAATACTCACAAAGGTCCAGATTGTGAGAAAAGATGATTGTGAAACTTGTAAGCTGAGATGGTGCACCAAATGCTCTTCCTTTTCTTCTTCTTTGCTAGAAAACACCCAAATGGAGCTCAAAATCAACTATGGAGGATTCGGGTTTCAAGGGGAAATGTTAGGAGGTGATGGAGGCTGAGGGTGGGCTAACCCTAGCCCTCACTTTCTTTAAATACGGGAAAAACCATCGAAATTTAGGGTTTGGCTCGCAACAGGTCTCATGTCGTGACCCATATATGGTCACGTCGTGACTCTTAATCAGATGTGTGTTTCTTTCAGTTGAGTTCACGTTGTGACAAATAAGTGCTCACGTCGTGAACAAGGTTAAAACTTTAAGAATTCAATCAGAATTTTTAAAATGGTGCTTACCTGGAACTAGATGTTACACATACCCACTATACCCGGTTTGATACCCGGAACTAGTTACCGTATACCGGTCCGGTTCTCGGTTCTTATAATCCGCCAATTTCGGATTCCGGGTAAACCAATCCTGTTTTATACCCACTTTCATCCCTAGTGTAACTAGTTAACTACAAAATAGCTTCTAATTATTTTATCAAAACATGACAAATTAATAAACTATTTTCTGCTAAATTCTTTTTATCTTTTTATTTCTCAAATGGGTATTGAGGGCAACCCAAAATGAGCATGTTATTATTAGAAACATTACCAATAATTAATGACCTTGAAAATTATTTCTAACAGTCTCCCACTTGGAGCATTTAGTTTAATGGAGCATTTAGAGTTTAATAGAGCATCTGAAAAGGGAATGGAGCACTTGGGGATATAATACTCAAGATGGAAGTGGAGCACGTAAGAAGGGAATGGAGTTTTAAAATGGTCTTAAAATATAGTCATTTTAAAATCGCTTTCCTTTTCCGTAAATAAGAGTTTTATAAAAAAAAGATCGTTTTTAGCTTTCTAAAACACATCAGTGGTATTGGAGCCTCTTTTACATGTTAGGAAGATTTATTATCATGTTTGATAACCTTTAGTTTTGGAAAATATTCTTAGTATTTTCTTTGGCAAAAAATGACCAAATATATATCCTATGACAACTTGTAGTTTTTATAATTGCTATTTTTTATGCAACCCAACTTTTCATACAGATGTCTAGAACAAATGAATAGTTGATCAATTATCTACTGGTTGAATCCAAATTATATCAGAGTTCGACAATTGCATTGGATGACTAACTCTCTGTTGATTTTTTGAGAAGTATTAGATCTTGTATAGTTGATGAGTTGTTCAAGTAAGAGACTGTTGGAAAGAGTGTCAAATGTCACTAACTATTTATAATATTTCTAATAATAACAGTCCTTTTGAATTTCCCTCATAACCCAAATGAGAAATTAAAAGAAATAGAATTAAGAGGAAAAATTAGTTTATTAATTTATTATGTTTAATAAATTAATTGGAAACTATTTTGGAATAAATTGGGAACTAATTAATTCAAGGGGTTAAATATTAATTATTTAAAATTTAACTAAGTGGAATATTCCAAAATCCCTAAGGGATAAGGAAGATCTCGAAATTAACATCCATCCCATATTGTATTACAATTGGAGTAAGGATATAAGGCCTATAAATAGGATGCTAAGGATCATAACATCGTGGATCCTTCACTTGAGACTTTTCCAAATCCCTCTTCCTCCTTTCACTAGATGATTTCCAACCCTTCCAGGGTTTGTTGAGATTAATCCTCCTTCTAGTTTTCTTTTTGTTCACTTTTTGGAGTCTTGGGTGTGATTCCATTAGAAGGATTCTACTTTGGATCCTCCCATCCATACAAAGATGGTAAGGACAAGATCGCAAGTTATAAAGTCTCTAGCTGCAAAAGAGGTATGTTATTCTTTCTTAGTAGTTGCAGTAATAGATTGAAACCTAGAAGGTGCATGTACACATAGGGTTATTTCATGATGTTTCCTCTGTGCAACTAGTGTGTACAGATTGCTAGAAAACCCAACAAGCACGTGTTGCGGCCACTAAAATCCAAAATAGTCGCGAACTATACCAAATTTCCCGCTGCGACCAAGCCTTGGTCGCGTTGCGTACCTTGGGCAAAACATCCACTTCTATTAAATGCTTAATCCTTTTGGTAAATGGCTATAACTTTCCATAACCTTCTAGGGAGGTTCTTAATGGATAAAAATCCCGACTTTATCCACATGCAAGCCTGTAACATACCGAACACCAATCCTAAATCTGAAATAAGACAAAAAAGGCTTATGGTTTTATTGCATGGTTCAAAGAGAGCTCACACATGCTCTCTTTTCACCTCATTAAGTCCCAAAAGTTCCTTAAAAAACTTATTAACCTGGAGTTTCCCAAACTCCAAGGAATATCAACTAAAAGGGACCAAAATGCACCAAAACATATAAAAACTCTAGATCTAAGATAAAAACTCATAAAGGTTGGAACTGTATTACTTACAAAGGTTGAGAAGATGAGTAGAAGGTTACAAATTCTTTGGATCTAGCTTCCTTGCACTGGAACAACAATCTTCTTTCTTAAGTAACACACCAAAACTCAAGGTACAAAGAACGAAGGCTAGGGTTTGCTTGCTCTAGGGGCTGGAGTAATGGAGGCCGATAAAAGAGGATACCCTAGAAGTTAGAGCCTTTAAATATGATCCAAAACGCGAGACCTAGGTTTTGAGTTGTTGTAGCCACACGTCGCGCCCATATAAGGTCACGTCGCGACTTATTGAGTTGGCACATGTCGCAACCAACACATGGTCATGTCGCGAAATCAACTCCACCCCAAAACCCCAAAACCATGTTTCTTATTTCATTAGCAATTAATAAATTAACATACTGGGGAAACGAGCGTTATAAGAGTAAAAGACAATCTCATGTAATTTTACATAATATGAGACAACATTAAATGCAATCACTTATACTTATATCTTTCACATTATGTTATTTATTTAGTTCAACTGATTCAAGTTAACACCAATTATTTGTGAGGTAAATATAATAACCATATAATGTTAAAAGGTTAAAAACCATCCTTACACATCTTTAAATCGTTCACATTATATTATTTATTTTCATCTTCGATGCCTGATTTTTCATTTTATTGATACATATCATACGCGTTTCATGCTTCTCTACCCTTGCAACTTTGTCAAAGTCAACATCAAATGTCAAGAATCATTCTACAACTTAACCTATCATCATCTTTAAATTCATCGATATATTCATATAGTTATTAGTTAGTTCTTGACACAACTTATTATTGTTTATTTTCAACGCTAAAAAATCCTATATGAAACCCATCAGTCGTTGCATTATTGATATCCATCATGAACTTAAAAGGACGTTGTTGTAGACTTATAACTATAGAAAGTTGAACAATTGGATCCAATGATTGATATAATTAATATAAATCTGTAAATTTGATGCTAGTGTGAGTAAACTTGAAAAATAAATGGCTCATATGACAAAAGAAATCCTTTAAAAGACCAAAATATTTTTTTGTTTCGATGTTTCATGACACTTGTAAAAAATAATCATTATCATTTAATAAAATAGAGTCTAAATTAACCTAGGATCCCCGAGACTTTTCCATAAATCTCCAACAATTTTTCCTGCTCCTCAAAAGCCTACATGACCGAAGGAAAGACATCATGTACCGATCAATTTGAAGGATTAGTTTCAGAATGAATTATGTTTGAAGACCTTTTTAGTTAAAAAGCAAATAAGCAAGGCATGAAATTTGCAATGATGCAATAACTAGAGGTCTTATTTGTTATATTTACATATTTCGAAGGCAGGCCAACATAAATCACCTGGATTAACCGGTCCGGTTGATATGTCATCATAGAGAAAACTGGAGGGGGTTGATAGAAGAAACTCAAAGTTGGAGGGTCAGATTCGACAATGACGCAAAAGATACGGGTGCAAAACAAGTAGAATACCCGAAAAGTAAGCATTTGTGAAACTTGCAACAGCTGGCTGATCTAAAAAATCTCTCCACGCAACACGTTACCCTCAACAGCCCCCCATTTCCCAACACCACAATGAAATTATCTCCGCTTTCTTTATCCACCACCCTCTCTCCTCCTCCTCCCCCGCAACTACTTCACAATCATCGGCGGTCAATTTTCTTTCAATCGTTCAAGGTCCGAGCCTCTTCTTCTCCGGCGAACTCCTTCTCGAATCACCGAGTCGTTGTTACGAGAGAACGTGGCAAAAACGACAAGCTCATCGCTGCTCTTGTAATTATCCGTTTCCTTTTTTCTTCTCATTTAGCTTCTAATTTTGCTTTTTGCATTTTAGCTTTTGTTAAAGTTCAGTTCATTCTAGATCATGTTAATTGTCTACATTGATGTTGTTGTTGTTATTAATTTACATTTAGATAATTTGTCGTAGTTCTTTAGTTGTTGATGCATATATTATTGAAAGATGCATTACAGCGAGGTGTTTGATTAAATGGGAGATTAAATATGATTATTTCTAAAGATGGGACTAGGTATGGAAGTATAAAATACTATTCCTGTATTTTCTCAATTAGAATCCACTTCATTGTTTCACAAGTGTTGCTTAATTAAATTGTTCTCATCACCAACAATTTTTATATTCTTAATCTTTGTTAACTTTGTAAAGTAATTAGTGGCCAAACTATTATTTTGGCTAGATGAGAATTTAAGTTTACTTCTCAGAGATCAATGAATGGAGTACTTGCGTTTCTTACTTTCTTTTGTAATGGAAAAAGTACAGCGATTCCATGTAATTTTAGTTTAGGTCTTCTCAAATCTCCAGACTCCAGGGGTCATTTCCTTTGTGGCACTGAATTCTAAACATGTACTGAACCACTTTGCGTAGATTTATTGGTTAGAGGGAAGGAGCACGTGGACTACTGCATTAATTGTACATGAGAGTATTATATTCGTTTAATGGTTGCAACATTAATGCAGCAAATTACAAGTTGCTTCATTCTGGTGCTTATTTTGATATATGCGAATTTTTTCTGTAAAAGAAGTTATAAAAGTTAAAAGTACTTTACATTGTCTATGAAGACTGTGATCATATTGCTGCTGACTTGTAATTATTCTGAACTGAAGCAGTCTTAATATTTTTTTCTATTCCAACAGTTTTAACTATTACTATATGTGGAACTTTAGAAACATTTGCAAAATGTATAGTGCTAAAGGAGTGAATATGTTGGGAAAATGCCAACATTGAACCATGGAGTTATTGTTTATTTGTTTTAGATCACTCATTAAATGTAACTTTTTTGTTTTATAATGATAGGCAAAACATGGGATCAACAGTTTGGAGCTTCCTCTAATTCAGCATACACAGTTGCCTGATCTGGAGAAACTTGTTTCTCTCTTGAGTGGTAAGCTCAAACTCCTTAATTTCTACTTGTTGCTTCTTTTCTTCTAAGAGTAATGTTTACTGTTTATCTGTTTTCTTCTTGTGATCTTATGGAAGCAGCCACTAGTTTTGATTGGATCATCATAACTTCACCAGAAGCAGCTCTGGTTTTTCTTCAAGCATGGAAGTAAGTTCAGAAATCACCCATCTATAATTTCAAGTTACAATGGCTCCATGCCATCCTTTTATTCATTTCTTTATTTTTAGTCGATGTTTTTAAGGTGCTGAATTTATTTATGTCTCATCTACAATCATCTACAATCACAGAGCTGCTGGGACCCCAAATGTGAAGGTAGCTGCAGTTGGAACTGGTACAGCCACCATATTTCATGAAGCTACACCTTCATCTAAGCAGTTTATTGAAGTTGCCTTTACTCCATCAAAAGGTATTATCTGTAAATAAATGTCTTTCTTCTAAATTCCATACTATTTATCACTCCAAACAGCTGTAGTAGATAATAATAATATTTAGTTTTTATGATCTTCTTTCACAGCAACTGGCAAGGTTCTTGCTTCAGAGCTTCCAAAGCAAGGGAATGAAAGATGCAGTGTTTTGTATCCTGCTTCTGCAAAAGCTGGTCATGATATAGGTACACCCTTTTACTCCTTACTTTATTTCTCTTCCATAACATCTCATCTTGATAATTGTATCTGTTTAAGTGTTTATACGTATGACATTTTCACTATCTCATGAGGTCATAAGTTTTAAATATGTACTAAAATCAAACTGTGTTTCAGAGGAAGGTCTTTCTAAGCGTGGATTCCACATCACAAGATTGAATACTTACACAACGGTATGTATTTTAGTTCTGACAAATTTTTGATGTGGCATTTCACATTCTTATTAATATCAAGGGAATTTCTGTTGCATTATTTTTGGTTTGTTGTACTTTAGGAACCTGTACAACATGTGGATCAAACGATTCTACAACAAGCACTCTCTGCTTCTGTAGTTGCAGTTGCATCACCTTCTGCAGTTGGGTAATTAATATTCTGGTGCTAAATTCTCTTACTATTTTATTTTCTTTGTATTTCACCTTATATTTTCTCTTATTCTGCAACAGTGCTTGGGTGGATCTTCTACCTGAACCACAGACATGGGAGGGTTCTGTTGCATGCATTGGTGAAACCACTGCTTCAGCTGCTAGAAAATTAGGCTTAACAAATGTATATCACCCATCTACCCCTGGTCTTCACGGGTAATATAATAATATATATTATATAATTCCTTTCATACTATTATATTCTTATTATTATAAATTCACAGTTTTATTTACCCTTTCCATTTGACAGATGGGTTGAAACCATTTTTGATGCTTTACGTGTACATAATCATCTCTCAAATGTCTAAAACAAAGGTAGCTAGTTATTACAATTTACAGATATACCCTTTCTTGACCATGTTTTATTTCTTGTTTCCAATTTAAAATACCTTCTTTTTCTATGCAAGAATTTGAGAGCTGATGCATGTGACACTAAATGAGGGAGTACATCACAATTTACAACAACAACTTGTGTTTATGTACATATGTATGAGAGAAGTAAATTAGCACCAAAAAAGTCTTGCTCTTTTTACTAGTGAGCAGCATTCATGTACAGGAGGTGTTTGTTAATTGTTGTTGTATATCAATTTTCAATGCTGTAAATGACCATTTTTATTTTTCAACTTATGATTGGATACAACTTGCTTCCGAGTTGTCTTTTTTCTATAGAGGTCTTTCTTGTATATCAAAAGGCAATAATAAATGAAAAATTGAACTACTTAAGATGCCACATGGGTCAAGTTTCAGATTCATCCCTTTCTGTTTATTGGTAATTTTTCATCTTACAAGAACTCTTTGCAATTCAATCAATCTTTGGAATCGTTACTTATTTTAGTTATTTGATTTTGATAAGTGAGAAACTAAAACTACTCAGTGGCATTTAAGGTAATTATGCCAAAGATGGAGGAAGTTTCCCCTGAAGGAATGATGAGATCATTTGCAATGCTCTTTCTGGCTGGTAGCTTGGAACTAAATGCCCTGCTCCTCTTACTGTGGTAAGTACAACTCCCTTGTATCCTACCACATATCCTCCAACCTATCACATGTTAAATTTGGATATTATAGTACATATATTTTTTAGTATTTAATTTTTGAGGCTTCAAAATATCATGTACCTCTTTGTTATAGTACCATGGTCTCCAAGCAGTCTCTACTGGAAGCTTCAACTTGTTCACTGAGTATCTTGAAGATGTTACTGGGACCCGTCCATCTGTGTCACCACTGCCAATTCATCATGGATCAAATGTAAGTTTATTTTTGTGTATGTTTAATAAATAACTGATTGGGTGTTGGATTAGATTGAGTTACCTGTATATCCAGACACTAATTCCATTTTCAATAAGTTGAGTGATAGTAGGCAAAATGGTTGTTGGGCTGTCTATCATTCCAATACCACTGCACATAAAATCACGAGTCGAATACAAGATACTTTCATTGATTTTTATTTATTATGGAATAATGGAATCCTAGTTTTAGAGAAAGAAAAGAAAAGGTACGTGCAAAATCCCCATGAGGTATTTCGGGCATGAAGAGCTTCTTGAACTTCTGCTAGATTCAGATATGAGGAGACATAATCATCAGAGCAAGGATCAAAGTTCTTGACCTAATTCAACACATCATTTCTTTAAACAAAAGTACATTGCAATTTCCTGTATTTGAATGGAATGAGAGACTTACAGATCCAGTGGCAGGTTTCTGGATACTTCCATCACAAAATGGGGCATAGATGTTGTAAATATCAATCTCACCATATTCACTACCTGATTGGCTTTGATAATGAAAACACTTTGCTGAGAAATTCCCAGAACCATAGCCACAATACTCGTTGATCCCTGCATTTGTCTCATCAGAGTTTAGAGCATGTGTCCAGTAGTAATCATACATCCCTTCATCAGTTGCATTGTCATCTATCACAGCATTCCCAATCTGCACATTCACAATACAAAACACCCATTGGTTGTATTCATGCTTATGTGGCGTCTGTTACATGTTACATGTGACATGACTTGTCTTGTCTTGTTTTGTCTGATAACTACTTACCGCAATCCCACGAAGATTAATGATTGTTCCGTTAGTTTTCTTGTTTTCTGAGAGAATGAGAGAAGCAAGCTGGGGTACGTAGTGACCTGCGTAGCTTTCACCTGTAATAAAGAAATCTCGGGTTTTGTATTCGGGGAATCTTTCTAGCCAGTTGATGAGAAAAGTGTACGAGTCTTTAGCTGTTTGCTTGTCCCCTGTCGCGTACGATGTGTTTGAATACGAGAACCCCACTCCAGCAGGCGACTCCAAGAATAGCACATTAGCCACTGTCAAATTTTCAGGATTTAGCCTTTTACATTATGTTCATTCAAACCCTAGATGTCAATTTTTTGTTGGTGGGAGATGGACTTGGTGTTTGATCTATCTTACGTATATTAGACCTGAACACCCTTCTCATCTGGAGTATCCCTAGAAAGAGTGAAGATTTTTTTTGGTTACCGTTGTTCCATGCGTAATCATTGCGGTAGAGTGTTTTTCCATCACTGTTGACTCGGAAGGGTCCAAGTTCTTCCATGGCTCCGTATCCAAACGACGAGCATCCTGGCCCTGTACAATAGGATCGTTAATTCTAAGACTGTCTATTGTACGAAACAACGTGAAGGTGAAGGTTAAAGATGTGTTTGGTTGTAGAAAATTGTTTTTATTTTTGTAGAAAACGTTTTCAGAAAATAGAGTTGAGTTTTCATTTTTCAGTTTTCAATGGAAATTTTAAAAAATACGTTTGGTTGAAACTAGGGGTGGTGATCGGGTAAATTTTTCAGGTTTCGGGTAATTCGGGTTTTTCATGTGGGATAAACACGAAAGTTTCGAAAACGAAAGGGTAAAATTGATATTTTACAAAGTTAAAGGTGGAAGGGATAAAAAATATCATTTTACAAAATAAAGGGGTTGCAAATAATTGATTATACAAAGTTGAGGGATTGAAGTTGTATTTTATCGTACATTGTTCATGAATTGATTGTACTATTTGTTACATAATTACACTTGCAAAGACTTACCATTTGTATATATTTATAATTTGAAAAGACTTCAATCAAATGTGTTTTACCATTTCTATAACCAAACCCACTCTAATATTTTTACAATTGATTGAAACGAAATTGATGCATTACCTCCGTTGAGCCATAGAACAAGGGGTTTGGTTGAAGAGTTGTGAGGTGATTCAACAAAGTAATAAAACAATGCCTTTCCCGCCTTTGAATCGATTGTTACATAGCCTGAATAATGATCAAAATCGACTTGTGGTTGGCCTGGCAACTTGTCAATCATATCTTCTTCCTTTGACCCTTGTTGAGGGACAAAAGAAAGTGGAGATAAGTTTGATGTGTCTTCTTCTGTCCATGGCTGGACACGTGGCGGATTCTCTGATCTTCTCGACTCCATCAATTTGTTTAGGCTGGTGATCTGGTTATCCTTTCTTGCCACACAGAAACCCAGAAAATAAAGTGAAAAAACTAACAACAAAAAATAAGCTATTTGGTTCATTTTAGTTGTATAATTGTATATAACTGGTGTCATGCATATATATAATTATAATTATGTGGTCAGGTGTGTCTATATACTGTGATAAGACATGCTGAAGCCGGTTGGGTGGTGTTGTAACGTTATTTCCTAAGCTAGTAAGCTCATTGGCCTGCTCTTTGGAATCTATAGTTAAAATATAAGGACAAGGATAAATATTATACAACTAATGGTATTTGGTTGTAAACTTCTCCTTCACTGCATGAAGATAAATTATGGGTTTCTAACTTGCTTATATATTTTCTTCTAGGTTGTGAAGGGAATGAATATTGAAGCCATTAGATGACTTAATAGTTATTATTGGCTTTGTTATGATTTGGGAAGTTTATATGTCAAACAGTGGCTTGAAATAATTTGACAAAAACATATATCTAACATAAGTTTGTTTCGTCAAGAGGGATAAATGGTATGTTAATGAAATTAGCATGTATTAATGTATGTTGCTCCAGCAATACAATGCAGAAAAATTACAAACTTGACAGCAATTAAGCCTTCTGTTAGAGTATTCCCGTTTTGCCCTTAGACCCAAGAACAAGCAATGACAATACCAAGATAAAGAAAAAGTAAAATAGAGAAATGAAGAACAACAAATTTAACGTGGTTCAACAATAACCTGCTTACATCCACCAGAAGAGAGAAAACTTTGTATTAGGTTAAGAAGCAATTTACCTCGCTCTTGTTCTCTGTTACAAGACTTACGTGCATTACTCTCTTTACAGCTGAAATAAGCATATAAACAAACATACATGGGCCTACATTCTTTGGGCTATTAACTGGGTCATTTAACCCATAACAGTTGGGCTGACCCAAATCAACTCAAGCTAAGTTCTTGGGCTGACCACTTACAATTCTCCACCTCGAACAACATTTGATAGACCTCAAATTTTGGACGATACACCAAAGAAGAAGTTGCACACCTTGATATGTAATACTCAATCCGACTACACCATTTGACCATGGTTGCCTACGTACCCACATCTGGGATCAAGCCACCGTAGTTCACTTCACCAGGTGAAAACTCCACCTTACCCTGACATTGCCCCACAATGTCTTTGCCCTCAAGGGCAATCAACACTGATTAATATTAAGCAAGTTCAAGCAATGCTTAAACTTGCCATCTGGTACCACCTTGGTTAACATGTCTGTTGGGTTCTCATCAGTGTGCACCTTCATAAGAGAAATATCACCATCCTCTATGACATCCCAGACAAAATGATATCTGACATTTATATGTTTGGTACGAGCATGATAAACTTGATTCTTAGCTAAATGAATTGCACTTTGACTATCACACCACAAGTCTACACAATCTTACTCAAACCCCAAATCATCTAAAAAACCCCACAACCACAGTGCTTCCTTTACACCTTATTTATAGCCATATACTCAGCCTCTGTAGTAGAAAGCGCTACTGTTGCTTGTAACATCGATCGCCAACTAACTGGAGCACCATGTATTTTGAACACATAGCCAGTAGTAGATCGATATCTATCCAAATCACCAGCATGATCTGAATCCACAAATCCAGTAATTCACCATGTATTTCCACCAAAGCATAAACCAATATCAGCGGTTCCTTTCAAATATCTCAAGACCCATTTCACAGCTTCCCAATGTGCCTTCCCTGGGTTCGCCATGAACCTGCTGACCACACTGACCGCCTGTGAAATATCTGGACGTGTACACACCATGGCATACATCAGACTGCCGACTGCACTGGCATAAGGCACACGCTCCATGTACGTCTTATCTTCTGCTGTAGAAGGAGATTGTCTACTAGAGAGCTTAAAATGTGGAGCCAATGGAGTCACCACTGACTTGGCATCTTGCATCCCGAACCTCGCAATGACCCACTCAATGTAGCCTTTTTGGCTCAAGAACAATCGATGTTTCGTCCTCTCTCTTCTAATCTCCATACCCAATATTTTCTTGGCAATTCCCATGTCCTTCATCTCAAACTCTTTACCAAGTTGAGATTTCAGTCTATCTATCTCCACCTTGCTCTTCAAAGCAATAAGCATGTCATCCACATATAAAAGAAGATAAATATAATCACCTCCATGAAGCTTCCGTATGTAAACACAACAGTCATACAACCTTCTGGAGAACCCATGCTTCAACATGAAAGAGTCAAACCGCTTGTACCACTGTCGTGGAGATTGCTTCAATCCATATAGTGATTTCCTCAAGCGACATACCTGACTTTCCTTATCAACAACCTTGAATCCATCAGGTTGATGCATATAGATTTCCTCATCCAATTCTCCGTGCAAGAAAGCGGTTTTTACATCGAGTTGTTCCAGCTCCAAATCACCATGAGCAACAATACTCAACAATGCCCAGATGGAAGTGTGTTTCACTACCGAAGAAAATATCTCATTGTAGTCTACTCCCACTCTTTGTGCAAACCCCTTTGCTACTAATCTTTCCTTGTACCTTTTACCACCGAGTTCGGAAGAATCCTCCTTTTTCTTGTACACCCACTTACAACCAATAACTTTCTTTCCTACGGGTAATGGGACCACCTCCCAAGTTTGGTTCTTTCGAAGAGACTCCATCTCTTCTTCCATAGCAGCCAACCAACTCTCATTATTGCCATTCTGAATAGCTTCCTTGAAGGAGACCGACTCATCTTCCTCCATTGAGAGTGCATACTCAACCAAACTTGCATGTCCGTAGTGCTTCAAGGGTTGATCAGACCCCAACTTTTGAACTTTCTTATATGCTCGCCTCGGCCTAGTAGAGACCGAATTGTCTCCGAGCTCTTGTTCCTCTGGTTCGTGTACATTTTCTTGCTGAACCGTCTCATGTTCAGTATCATCGTGAATACCACCATGATCTTCTCGTGAACACGACAAGAACCTTGTTGGCTTTTAGGTTCTATATCAACTACTTGAGACTTGACCGTCTCAATGTCATCACCATTTGGGACCGTAGCTTTTAAAGAAGCTACATTGGAGTTCTCATCAAAAGTAATATATCTGTTGATTATAAACTTGAAATCTTCCAAACACCAAAGACGATAGCCTTTCACACCTGATGCATATCCCAAGAAAATTTCCTTCTTGGCTCTTGCTTCAAGCTTTCCCTCACTAACATGATAATAGGTTGTGCACCCGAAGATTTTGAGTTTCTCATAAGGTAACGCCCGCAGATCCGGGCTAGTCATGTAACACCCCGGATTTCCAGGTATATTATTTTAATTATTTATTTTTGTGAACCATTGATCTACTCGACGAGTTGGTGCTATAACTCGTCGAGTAGAAGCGGGGTGGCCACGTAAGTTTAATGAACTACTCGACGAGTCCAAGAGTAGACTCGCCGAGTAGGCGCTGTGGGTGGAAACCCTAAATCCTCGGGCCTGTGCCCTATTTAAGGGACCTTATGGCCCTCATTTGCGGCCACCATCACCCTTGAGAGCACCAGAGCACCTGAGAGCGTTGTGAGAGAGAGAAGGAGCCGTTTTCATCATTCTAAGTGTGATTTTGCAAGAAAGAAGGAAGGAGGGCAAGCAAGGAAGATTGAGGAGCTCAGATCTACCACCATTTGATCAGAAGAGGCTGCTAGAGGTATTAATCTGTGCTCAATCTCGTGTATTTGGTGATCTACTTGAATCTAGGGTTTTCTTATGCCTTCTTTAGCTTGGATTCGAAGTATGTGAGGTCCCAAGGTGGAGTTCTTCTTAGATCTGGACCTTAATAGGTTCAGAGAGTCCTATCTATCTTGCTTTATGCTATTCCATTAGAGATATGAACCTAGGTTGCCATTTTTAAGGCTATTTCACCAAAAGAAGCTTTATGGACGTTGCATGAGTGTAAAGGTCGGACCTTTACGCGATTTTTGGGTATGGTAAGGTCAGATCTATAAGTTAGAGAAACAGATCTGACCTCAGAAGGTCATTTGAGTGTTGCCATGGAAGAAACTCGCCGAGTCCATTAGTGCACTCGACGAGTCGAGTCGGGGTTGCCCCGCGATTCATGACCAGTGGTAACCGTCGAGTGAGAGGTTAACTCGACGAGTCGAGTGAAGATCTATGAGGATTCGGAAGACGCCTGGACTCGCCGAGTCACACGAGTGCACTCGACGAGTCTGGTCAAAGTTTGACCGTTGACTTGAGTTGACTTCAGTTGACCTTAGAGTTTTGGTCAAGCTGGTTCTAGAGAGAGATCTAGGAGGGGTAGAATGGTCTTTTACCCACTCCTTAGAAATGAGGACAAGAGAAAGTATTGATTATAGATGTTATTATGTTAATAGGAGGAGGCTAGGTAGGGTTATCGAGCACGAGAGGTTATCCGACATCGTACGAGGTGAGTCTTCTCACTATACCTTACCTAGAGTGGTAATTATGTGTGACCGGAAGGTCTTATATGCTATGCAGAATATGTGATGTATGTTGTTATGTGATATGTATGTGCTATGTTATGTTATGAGTAGTATGGTATGGACCGGAAGGTCATTATGATAATGGACCGGAAGGTCTACCAGGGTTGTGGGACGGAAGTCCTCTGAGACACAGTGACCGGAAGGTCTTATAGCCTTGAGTGGCGTATGTGCGTATGTGGTATTTTGGGGAACTCACTAAGCATTCATGCTTACAGTTGTTGTGTTATGTGTTTCAGGTACTAGCGAAAATCGCGGGAAGGCGCCGACATGATCCGTACACACTCATGGAGTTTATGTTTTGAGATTCAGGGATATGTTTTGTTATGATAACATTGGATACATTATGTTTTGATATTACTTTGTGATTAAAAGTATGTTTTAAAAATGAAAAATTGTTTTGTAAATTTACGTTGTTACAAGTTGGTATCAAAAGTCTTGGTTTGAGGGATTCGGATGCACATTCGGGCGTATTTGAACTC